AACCCCAAAACCCCAAAACCCCAAAACCCCAAAACCCCAAAACCCCTAACCTTGTATAATAATTGACCTGAATATGGAAGAAAGCAAAAGTAACAATATTGTCTGCGATAATGGATCTGGGTATATCAAAATTGGATATGGAGGTGACAACTTCCCCCTCTACACACTCCAAGGTGTTGTAGGCAGACCATTGATCAGGTCTGGAGAGAAGGTAGACGGAGGTGAGCTCAAAGATATCATGATATGCGACGAAACAACAAAATACAGGTCAATGCTTGAGCTTTCCTATCCCTTAATCGAAGGTACTGTTAAAAATTGGGATGATATGGAGCTTGTCTGGGAATATGCATTCCAAAACAAGATGAACCTAGGAGACCTTGGTGACAAAAACGTCTTACTTACAGAAGCTGCAGTCAGCCCCAAAAAGAATAGAATTAAAATGGCAGATGTTATGTTTAACAAATTTGGATGGGGAGGTTTAACATTTGAAATACAAGCTTTACTTTGCTTATTCTGAGAAGGACTCATCACTGGGCTTGTCCTCGATTCAGGAGATGGTGTCTCCCATACAATTCCAGTTTCTGAAGGTTATGTACTTGACGATTATGTTCAAAGACTAAATGTTGCAGGAAGGCATGTGACAGAATACCTTGGAAAACTTTTGCTTTTCTCAGGATATGCCTTTAACTCATCATCAGACTACGAAATCTTAAGAACTATTAAAGAGACTGCATGCTATGTAAGCTATGACATTGCAAGAGACAGAAAATTAGCAATGGATACCTGAGTTGTCAACAAAGAATACAGACTACCTGACAAGAAGAAAATTATCTTGGGTAGAGAAAGATTTGAAGCAGCTGAATGCCTTTTTGATCCAAGCCTCATTGATGTTGAAAGAGAAGGAATCCCAAACATGATTCTTGAGACAATTATGAAAAGTCCACTAGATTGTAGAAAGGACTTATATAACAATATTGTGCTATCTGGAGGTTCAACAATGTTCCCAGGATATCCAACCAGAGTAGAAAAGGACTTATGGACTCTCTTTAAGGATATAATCATGGAAGGCAAAGAATATGAGCATGGAATCAAAATAAGAATCAACGACTCATTTAGAAGGAAGCACTCGGTATTCACTGGAGGCTCTGTCCTTTCCCAACTTAAAGGCTTGAACTGGATCACTAAGGAGCAATATGAGGAGGAAGGAGAAAGATGAATTCTTGGTTCTGCTATCAGATCTGCGACATAATTTTATTTATTCAACTTGGAGAAAATAATAAGGGGTTTTGGGGTTTTGGGGTTTTGGGGTTTTGGGG